TTTGATGCCCATGCGATGTTTGCCATTCCAAGCGCCACCTCCTCCCACCCCACCAACAATGTCGACGCCCGGCCTCCTACCCTTTTCCCCCATGGCAGCGGGCCCTTTACCTGTGCCATTTCCGTCAGTATCACTGCCTGGCCATATGCCACCTCTCAGGGCTGTGCTTAAGGCGCCCCCACAACCAATTTTGAATGGTTATCATGTACGGCCGCCTGTTGACTTATCAAAGGCTGAAGAGGTTTTGCTTAATCGTGACTCTGAGGAGGAAGAAGAGGAGTTTGATCCCAATAGCGGCAGTTGGATGACTCCCCGTGAACGAATGCTTGTCCTTCACTTTCAATCCAGATCCCTCACTGTTAGCAATCCTTATGTTGAAGTAAGTTTCTTATCACCGAAGGTTCGGCTAGTCTCCGCTTCTAACATTTCTTTTTACTCCCGGTTTTGACGACATAACGAGCCAGTGCTTTTGAGGCGCTTTGGCCTTACATTGTTAATAGATAAATAATGCTGGATCCAACATACTTCCCAGGATTATCTCAATTCCGAGGTCCACTTTTCCATTAGTCACTACTGTATCGGAATCAGATATTTTTTTTCAGTAGATGTGAGAGTTGACGTTTTTGACGAATTCCACCCTCTGAGTCGGCGACTTTCATAACCTAACCATATGTGGTACTGTTACTTTTTTAATGCCCGAACAGCTGTATTCCAACTACCTGCGATAATCTTACTCTCGTATGTTGTACGGCTACGGCACTTCTGACTTACTGGCGCTGTTGGGCACAATTAGATCTAACCACCCACTTTTGTGTCAGTGTCTTAAATGCGTCTTCTCCAGCTTTAGACATACAGCTCAAGTATCAATCGCTCTTTTATCCTGTCTCGATAGTTACGTGCCCGAATAAATTAATTCGACTTAATACTCTGTCAACTGTCTCTGTAGGTATTGCACCTTCTCAGGAAGACCTTATTTACACAGACAATTATGTGCACTTGACCGACCATGTCCCGT